ACACCCCCACCCACACCCACACCCACACCCATATTTCTCAAATATAAATAGCAATAAAAGATTAATGGGTAATCCTCCACTCTTTCTCCTTGATGTCATAACTTCCTAATTACTACTTTGTCAATAGAGATTCCCTGGAATTTCGTTAATTGGACTGACATGCATTATATATTGACATTGTTTTATGACAATTGGTGAAACTGTATTGTATTTTCGTCAATACATCCTCTGAAATTTTGCTAATCGTCGAAAGTACAATGAATTTTCACCATTGATGAATATTCTGTTGGCGAAGTTCTGATAAAATCCTAGAATTCGGTTCTTTTCTTCTTGTTAAATTTTAGTCATAATTAGAACATAATCAGTGAATATATGGATGATGAGTAAGACAATGTTAATAAAGAAAATAAATATGAATAAACTTACATAAAGCAAGAGATTTCATTTCGGGTTGATTAAATTGTGTACATAATTGATAAAATATATGATCATTTCGTTCATCCGGTGCTTGATAAACAACTCTATAATAAAAAAAACGTTTTTTTTTGTACTTATCTTTGAAATGAATAAATTTTGATAATACCTTGATTTTTCTAATAGATAAGTTCTCATAGATGCACCACAAATATGATATTTTAAAAAACCAATTTCAATATATTTTCCAAATCGTGATGAGTTATCATTTCTTATTGTTTTTGCATTTCCAATTGCCTTTTATTTATTTCAAACATATTTCTTCGTATTTATTTACTAAAAACAAAACCTTCTACTTACTTCCATAATTGGACTTGATGCTAAAACTTTTTTTTCAATTTGTGTTTCTTCTAATAATTCACCAACATTTGCAAAATATCTCATTGCATATTTAGCACTAACAGTTTTTCCTGTCCCTGATTCACCTGAAACAATAATTGATTGATTTTTCATAGAATTCACCATTGATTGATAAGCTAATTCAGCTGTTGCAAATATATGTGGTTCTAATAATTGAATATCTTGATCATGATACAATTGAATTGTATCATTTCCATAGATAGATAAATATTCATAAAGATTTATTGTAACTAAGACGATTCCACATTTTGTATAAATTTGAGATTTATTAAAACGAGATTCAAGATTATATAAAACTAAAATATATTTTTGTTTTATAAAAAAAAGTCTAAAAATTTTCTTTTGATTTACCTTCAGGTTCATTTAAATAAGATAAAGCAGTAAGATCTTTTTGACCAATGAGAATCTCTGGATTACGCAATGATGGAAGATCAGAATCATTTTTAATTGTAATTATTTCCTATTTATATTTTCATTAATATTTTAAATTATTTCATTTTGTCTAAGCTTACATTTCTTCGTTCTACTGATGTTACTTCAAGTTGTTCTTTACCATTATAATTACTTGCAACAGTTACTGCACACCAAAAATGTTTATGATCTGGTAATCAAACTCGTGCACCCTAAAAACAAACAAATAAAATCAATTTTCTTTTATTTATTAATTTTTCAATGAAAAAAACAATGAAGCAGCTTCCTCTATTGCATTATTATGTCTCCAATATCTATGCTGTATAATCATACAATATAAACTAAATAAATAGCACAACACACATGAAATATTCGCACAAACTATACAAACTTGAAAAGAATTGATTGACTCGACTAATAGAAAAGAAAATAAATGAAACAAACAATAGCGAATAAGAAACTGAAAAATTTTTCTCTTTAAGAAAAAAAGAAAACCTTAAGCATGAATGAGATTAATATCTTCAAAAAATTCTTAGAACTGGAAGAAATATAATAACAACAATAATGAACAAGACACGAATATATCTTATTAGATAAAAACATACCTTTGTATATAATTGTCGAATAGACATAATTCAGGATTATTTTAAATACATTAATATTACCATAGTATTCAAAGATTAAACACAATACGTCGAAGTAATTTAAATCTAGAAAATAATTAAACTTTTTTCTTCAATACTATATCATATTTATATAAATTCTCTATCTGATAGTTTTTATTCGCAGAAAATTACAGAGACAAATAATTTCAGAGGAAAAATTTGTTTTTTTATCTTTTTCTTTTTCTATTAATTGCATCATCAAGAACATTGGTTATTTCTTGAATTTTTGGTGGTAACATTTGTTTTGTTTCATTAATAATTAATCGATCATAATCTTGAAAAGTTGTTTGTTCCAATAATAATAAAATTTTTTTTTGTCTTTCAAATTTTCTTATTTGTTGTTTCATACTTTCATGATGATGATGATTATTATTTGATAAAACTAAATGTATTGTTTATTACCATCAGTCGATTTATCGACATTAGAAGAATCATCATCATCATCATTGTCGACATCAGAAGAAGAATCATCATCATTATCGATATCTTTGATGGTGGAGGATGTGGGTTGTGACAACCAAATGAAAAATTTTTTTGTTGATTCAATTAATTGAATTTGATCATTTTTTTTTGCTGGATTTGGTCTTCTTAGCCAGTTCCAAAATACTTCTTCCTTTACACACTCTTCATCATAAAATGTATCGGACAATTTCAAAACCATTCCTACAAATAGAAGAAGGTGGTAAATGGAGAAAGTTTCAATTTGAAAACTTTTATGACAATTTACCATGTGGATGTTTCAATTCGATTACAAATTGTTGTATTGTGTAAAGTGCTTCAATTTGTTTTTCTTCATCAGCAGCAAGAATATTTTGCATAATTGGAGCTTTATCTCGTGCATTGTATTGATCAAAACCAATAATACTTTTTGGATTAGAATCAATGACACACGAATATAAATAAGATAATATAATATTTCTAATATATTTTGGATCCGATGGATTCATTGTCTAAAATAAACAAAGACATCTTATAGAACTAAGAGTAGATGTACTGAAATCTAGAGCATAGTTGGACTCGATTAAGATATGATAAATTTTTCCGGTTTAGTCTATGTATTAGAATTGCACTTCAAACAGGAAAAAAATTATAAAAACTGAGGAAAAATCAAGGAAAATTTTTCAGAATCCAATTAGAAAAAAAAATCTTTTTCAGATAGAAAATGATTTGAAGACACATACAAAAGATATCTCACTTAACAAGTCTGTTAAGTCAAAGTTTAGATCAAGTAAAGAAAATAATATTTGCTTTGAGTATCTTTTGATTTATTCTGATAAAAGAAGGACATGGTGCTAAAGTTGTAACTGATGAAATACCGATCTCTACCAACACGGGTAACTTTTTCAATTGATCCATTCAGATTAGTAGCAGTTTATCGAATTAATTTCAGTGCTGAATTGAAATTAGAACGTAATGCACTTACTTCTCGAATATATTGAAAAATTTTTTCTTCTTGTGTATTCGAATCTGTTTGTTGTTTATTGATCATACGGAATAATTCAATCAAGTTCATATCTAAAGAAGCCAAATATGTTGAAGATGATGATGCTGAATGTAATACAGCAACATCTTGTTCAGCAGTAGATGATGGTGATTGTGTAACTAATCGTTTTATTTCATTATCTTCCGTTGCAGCAGGATTTAATAACGAATCAATAGTGATAAATGCTGATGATGTTGTTCTTGATGTTTCTAATTGGATTTCTTCTCCAACAGGATTGTTCATGAGCCACTGGTAAACATGTGAATGTTTATCCTTATCTAAACTTTTGTTTAACAAATCTTGTATATAATTTGTTGAATAATGAAAATCTGCATCAGTTAATAAAAACTCCTTTTGTTTTTTCTTGGCCTCTTCAAAAGCACTATAACAATGTAATGCTAACATTCTATGATATGGTCGATTATGATTTTTGAAAAGTAAAGGTGCTTGATGAATATCTCCAAATGTATGTGACGACACTGTTGTAATTCGTTGTGATGATATTGTTTTATTTAATAAGAATATTTTTAATTGACCATTTTCTTCAATTATTGTTAAATATTTTTTATCAAATGCATGTTCGATTTCAGTTGCTAATCGTAAACAATTTCTGGGATGATTTGTATCGGATAAATTTAAACCAAAGAATTTCATATGATTTGATTTTGATTTTGGATATATATGTGCTGTTACTACTTGTCGAGATTTAGCTTTTATATAATTAAGAACCATGCACTGGTCTCGTTTTAAGTTGTAATAGGCCATTACTTTCATTCTTAATTTTTGTTTTGTAATTTCTGTAGATGAATTACAGGATAAATCTGACCATGGATCTGTAACTAGTTTTAGTAATTGATCATTAATATTTGGACCTAAATAAAAAAAAAACAAAGTCATCGTTAAATTTCTTTTGTTACTTACCTTGTTGATGAAAATGTTGACGATGACCACATGAACAGGTAAAATTCCCAATATCGCAGAACGAAATGCAAGGATTTTCAGGATCCTTACATTTAAAGCAAATGTTGGTAAATGACATAAGTGATATGAAAAAATAAAAATACAAAGTCGATATAAATAAATGAACTAAAGTGCATAAAGGCCTATCAAGAATCATGGATGCACAATAGAAATATTTTATTTTCTTAAATAATAACACTTATATCATGCATAACATGTTGGGTGTGGGTGTGGATGTGGGTGTGGGTGTGGGTGTGAGGGTGTGGGTGTGGGTGTGGGTGTGAGGTGTGAGGTGTGGGGTGTGGGTGTGGGTTTGTGGGTGTGGGTTTGTGGGCGTGGGTGTGAGGTGTGGGGTGTGGATGTGGGTGTGGGTGTGGGTTTGTGGGTGTGGGTTTGTGGGTGTGGGTTTGTGGGTGTGGGTTTGTGGGTGTGGGTTTGTGGATTGTGGGTGTGGGGTGTGGGTGTCAGTTTGTGGGTGTGGATGTTAATCTTATCATCCTCCACACCCGCCCACACCCACACCCACACCCACACGCACACACCACCCACACCCACATCCACACCCACACCCACACCCACACCCACCCACACCCCACACCCTCTTCTAAAATTGAAATTTTATTACCCATTAATTCATTATTATGCATTACATCCAAGCAAATATGTTTTATTTGATTCATCAGTTGATCCAATTGTGATCCTTGTTCTTCATTAATTCCATAATGTTGATTTAAGAAAAAAATAGTATCATCTAATAATTCATGAATACGATGACCAACAGATGATGGTTTTTGATTAATTATTTCACCGAACTTTTCGTCTGAAATAGCTGTTATTGCAGCTGTAAGTTCACCATAAGCTTGACTTTCTTTCGATACGTACAAAGGAATAATAGAGAGAATAGTTTTTTTTCACTGGATGCGACATTTTAACAAAATAGAAATATCTAAAAGATATAAATATGGTTTGAATACTATATAATTGGATATCTGTAGTTTTTAGCAGATTGAAAATCAAAACTAAAATGATTACACTCCATAACAACTTACGGCCATATTGAATCCGCCATTTTGTTTTTTTGCTTCCGTAGAATAACCAGTCTAAATTTGAACCAATCAACTTTTTTTCTCTTTGCTTTCGATTATTCCGAGTTTATAATTTATAGATGATACGCTATTCTATAGTTAACCTACTATTAGCATTTCAATACACTGTTTGTCAATAAACCTATCCATAAGGAAAATCTTTGGTGTTTCCATTCTAGATCGCAGTCGATTTACCACTATTTTTGAACTATGAATCATTCAGAAAATCGATGAATTTCGAAAGAAGCATGTAGCTACATAAGTTCAAGATCCTGAGTAGTTTACTGCTATATTTAAAATTAGGAATTTTTTGATAAAAGAAAATGATTTGCTAGGACATTTGTGAAATAAATTCCGTTGTTATAGAAATAAATTGAGAAAATCTATTTTATCGAAGAATTTCTTTCTATAAACTTGTTATTGAAATAAAATTTTCAAACTTTCGGTTAATAAATGAGCATATTGAAAAAGATCGTATTAAAATGAACATATCTTGTAATATATTGCCTTGTTCATGCTAATTTTATCTATTATTGGACACAAATATTTTTTTCTTCCTACGTTGAATTATTTTTGAAAAAAAAAGTTAATTATTTAGTAAAGATAAAGATTTGAATTGATTCGGTGTTTTTAAAAATAAAATTCTTCTTAACCATAAATTATCTTTTGCCTTTAACTTCTATAAAGATAAAATAAAAAAATAATGATGGTGCAACCATACTTATTTTCTAGATAGATTTTTTCTTCTGGTCTACACTGCAGTAGTACAAGGACATTCGATAATGAATAGAGATATAGATACGATACTGATCAATCAATAGAAATGATTAGTTGGAATATTTTCATTTCTAATAAAAATATTCTTTTGTTTTAACCTTGTTCATTACGCAATCTAAAATGTATAAAACTAGTGTTTTCTACAGACGTCATTTTTGGTCCTCATCAAAGACTTGCTCTCTATGAATGAACTCTAAGTTAAAAAAAAGTTCTGAATATATATTTAGAAAGAGCATGAAATTCTCATTCTAGCTGATTACTTTTGAATCTCTTCTGCGATCCATAAGTGGACGAAAATTGAACAGAGATATTGTTCCAAGACTTTTATACGCAAATTATTTTGAAGGCAAGTATTTTTATTTTTATTTTTATTTTATTTATTCTTATTATTTAGTATAACCCATTTGGTTAACATTTATATGAACTTCATCATTACTAATAATATAATCTAGTCGTGCTGTAGATCGAATTAGTCGTCGTCTTCTTCCATCATCTCGTAATTCTAATGTTTTTTGGCTTTTTATAAAATGAAATTAATTCATTGACTGGTGATTTTTAATTCATGTTTGGATGAAATGAATATGTCTAATAAAACAAAAAAAACGATCAATTTTTAAAAAACCTTAATTTTTTTAATTTTACTTGATTTATTTCATGAATAATAAAGGGTGTGGGTCTGGGTGTGTACATAAGAGAATTTCATTTAATAGCACAAGCTGTACTTACGACCGGTTTTGACCTTGCTTAAGGGTCATCATCAGGTAAGTCTGGCTATTAAATTTTAAAGTGCCCCAGGACGAAGAATCCGACAGTCGGATCCTGTCGGATCCGATCGGATTTCCTGGAGATTCCGACAACTTCCGATAAGATCCTATCGGAAGTTGTCGGAATCCTTGTTACGGTAATCCGATCGGAAGTTGTCGGATGTCGGATCCGACGCTTTCCGACCGTCGGATCCGATTGTTGGAAAATGCCGGATACAGTTAGAATCCGATGGAATCCTGATGAATTCATATTTAAATAAAAATTTAATTTAATTAAATTAAATAAAAACCAAATTTATTAAAAATAAAAAAAAAATACTTGCCTTCAAAATAATTTGCGTATAAAAGTCTTGGAACAATATCTCTGTTCAATTTTCGTCCACTTATGGATCGCAGAAGAGATTCAAAAG